ACCTCATAGTAAGAGTCTGTGGAGAAGATCACAGGCTTATGACATGAAGGGGTTGGCGAGAGAAAGCTTGATGGATTGCTTGATGTTCATCAATGGCAGGATGAGATCAGAGAAGCGGCATCTCAAGGGTGTGAAGATTCCGTACTATGCAGCACGTATGATTAACAAGCAGATGAATGCCACGTGGCTGTTTGGGGATGTCCAGACAAAGAATTGTGAAATAAGTGAGGAGGGTAAAGATAAATCTAATGGGCAATTCCAGTTGCAGGAAATGTTGCTGATGATGAAGAAAACGGATGTCAAAAACAGGATTTCCCCTGTTAAAGGTAAAATTGCCTTTGACATTTTCTAGTTTAGACCAAGTTTGATAAAAATTTACCATGTTTAAAAGTTTTTAGATGTAAATGATTTAATTCAAAAACTATAAATTTATAATTTTAGATTTTAGGAGAAGGCAAGAGAAACTTAAGACAATTAACACTTACTACTATTAATAATAAGGAAATCCTAATTCATCTTGCATGAACTGCACTACTTGTAACTATGGATGGAAATAGAATCCCTCTATCAATGGTTCCCCCATCAATAATTAAGGGCAAACTGTGCGTAACTTTTCAGTATCAATAATAAGTTTCTTTTATCCTTTGAAGTTCCATTACTTACTTAGGGTGGGGTTGTTTCAGGTGTGCCTGCAGGTGAAGGGCAGCTGGTTGAGAAGAGATGGAACAGAAAGCTAGAAAGACAGGAAAGGAGGAGAAAAGGCACCAGACCCAGAGGCGCAACTAGGCTGGCAAATGTCAAAATGGTGTGACTGGTAGACAAGTGATTTCCAAAAAGAGGGGAGATGTGTGATCAACAAGAACTGAATCTTGACAATCACAATCATAGCATGGATGATATGTGATCACTGATCACCAAGGGTACGTTTGGTTAAAAGCTTATTTTTTCAAAAATGTTTTTTTTTTTTCGAAAAGTAATTGATTAAAGTTTTGTGCAGGAAATTAAAAAAAATTGTATAAAACATTATTAAATTTTGTTAGAATTTTAATTTATTTGTATTCGGTGAAAAATTGACCTAAGAAAATATAAAAAAAAGTTAATAGATGGAGTTATTAAGTAAATCTTATATGAAAAAAGTTATGAAAATTTTTTTTCTTAAAAAGAGGTTGAAAGAAAGGTTTATGGATTAAAAATTATATTAAAAAATAAAGATTAAATTTTAATTTATCAATTATCTTATTAAAAGTATATAATATTAATGATAAAAATAAAATTAATTTTTTAATTTTTTATAAAAATTAAATAAATATAAAAAATACTTTTACAAAATCTTTAAAAAAGATATTTCTTAAAAAAATAATAGAAACACCCCCTTAAGGCTTCCTACATCAACAAGCCGAAAGAGCTGCTTTATGCCTCGTGAATGTCCCGTGTTTTTCTAAGGAAGACAAAAATCAAGAATTCATGCTCTGTGATTCAATTTTATCCAATACCCATCATCTAAACATTAATAGGTGCAACAATTCCACAAACACATTATTTAGTTAGATATTTTGTTTTTGAACTTGACAATCTACAAAAATGAGCAGACTCACCTTTCCATCAGATGATGTGCCATCTCAGGATGCACGTTGTGGGGGCTGGGGAAGAAACTTGCCCCATAAAACAAGTAAAAGAAATTTTTCTTAAAAATAAATGGGAAAACAAGAGAAAAGTTATGGTCTGTGTTCCGTGCTAAAATTGGCTGGCCTTACTTTTTTGTGCCTACCAGCAGTAAACCCATTTGTTGTTTACCCTAAAAAAATTTCATAAAGAAGAGATTAAGACCCTCAATCTAATCACAATTATGAAATAGATCAGAAAATCAACCCAAAATCTCCGTATTAACCAATCCAGATTTGATTAAGCATCATTTAATACCTAACCCACTAGATCCTGCTTTTAAGCAATAAAATAAATTAATAATATACAAATTCAAACACTCTATAGTGGTAATAAATCATACACATTCTAGAGGATCCTGAAGCATTTTCCTATAACATGGAGTTCAAGTGGTTGCCCATCAATATTGACATCAGCACATGAATGAAAAACATCAAGCTGTTTGATAATATTAGGAATGCCTCAGCAATTATGAAATGTATACTAAATCTAATTAATAGTTTATTCGGCTAAAGATGATTATGCAAGGTTATCAATAATCAGCATGTTCATGCTTTTTTTACTTTACATTTCTGCTAATTTCAAGCCAAAAGGCATGTGGCTTAAAAGCAAGAAAAAAAAGCACATTCACACATGCAAGACCCTGCTTCCCATCTAGTCCTAGAGATATATGATAAGCTCACAAAATACGCAAGGAGCATCTGGTAATTGCATTCAAAGCCTTCCAAATGGTCAAATTCTAGCAAGTTCCTAATATTAGATTCCCTTCCCTAAAATTCCAGCAAGGTCATGCTTACTCATCGATAGTCTCTCTAAAGATATTCATATAAATTTAACTACAGCTCAGAAAAAAGCCATCTAGTTAGGCAACTGTAATGGGAAAAGATTTTGAAATATTATTATTCTAAAAGGCTGTATGACAAATCAATGTACAACTCATGTTTACAACATTGCAAAAGTGTGTAAATATAAAGAAATCTTGGTTCAAATGCATATTCAGGGTCCTTCCATTGATCCAAAAGGGCATAGGGATAGCCGCTGCAGTGAAGATAAACTACCTGAAGACGCCAGCAAGAGGTCTACAATATTATTGATTAGCAACAAGGTCAAGGTGGTTTAATTATGAGAGTTAAGATATGATATTGAGTCCACTTTTAAAGTCCCAAAACAAAATATCTTACTATGGGGTCATGGTCCTTTTCAAAACCGTTGAAAACCCGTCCTGCTTCTTATATTACCAATTATGAAGGTAGCTAGATGATTTGATGTGCATATAACCAATAATGAAGTTTATTTCAAAATTTAAACACTAATTAGTACACATTTTAATCCATTAAAATACATAACACATTTTTCAAGAAATCATTATTTTTTGATTTAAAATTAAATACAAATAAATTTAAAGATATTGTCATACAAACAAAATGTAAAAACCCATTAAATTAATTATAATTATATTATATTTTTAATAACTAAATTAAATAGAGATAAAAAAATATACTAAATCGAATGTTTACCGATCATTTTCTTATTTCAATTGTAAAAGACATTAGTTTATCAAGTGATAACATATGCATTGAATCCGTTAGCTCAAATTGTCTCATTTTTACTTTTCAACAAGGCAACTTCTAAGGAAACAATAGAGCTCTTCAAACTTATTGTTAAAACAAACTACCATAGCTAACTACCTGCTGATCTGGGGTTAAAAGAAGAGTTCAGCCATCATAAATGCTTAAGGCAGCAACAACAGATCCTGTTCTGTTGTTGCGAAAAGCTGAGGCTGCATCCAGATAATCTTTCCAAGATGGCTGCTTAATCTTTAGTCATGGATACAAGCACCTCTTAACAGAATCAACAAAAGAGTTCAGATCAAAGTTCAGAATAGCTTCCCTGTTTGTACACTGTCCAGGATGTTTCCTGTTAGTACCATACGAGCCTCACAAGAAACAACCCTAGCCAAACATCAAAACCAAGAACAGCAGTGCCTCTTGGCAGTGGACAAATATGTCTTGTCACAACAATAAGCATTGCATTTTGCATAAAAGCCTGCACATACACGATTTGATTTATTCAACTTTTACAGTCAAGCATGGAAAAAGCAAAGGCAAGAAAAAAATGAGTGAAGAATAAAAGGAGAAAAGAAATTAGAAGGAAAAGAATGATCATATCATCAGAAAGTGAGAATAACTTATTGAAAAGTTCAAAACATCATATAATCTGATTGCTAGTACTGGATTAGTGAGTAGTCCAATTGCATAAATTAGTCCCAATACAAAAAGCTTGTGATTAGTAGCATAGACCAATCGTAAACTGGAATTTATTATCAAAAGATACCAGAAGTGCTTCAGACATGCATTTTCCTTATCCAGAACAATTCAGTGCTCGGTTAAATCCTATCATTTTAAGCCAATTCATATGGTACAAGGATCTTCTGACAGCAACTGAAAAGCAGTAAGGTTGAACAAACATACTTCAAGAATCCTCATTTACTGTCAATATATGACTCAAGAATCAGATCCATTAGAGTCTAGCTAGCATCTCAAACTGAAAATCAGCATGATTCAATTGATTGTTTAACAAAATGCTCGATTTCTGTAAGGTTCAGAATCCTGCTTCACTACTTATTTTGGAGTTAAGTTAGCTGTATGGTTCAAATTCACTGTCAAGAAATAGTACCAAATTAGAACAATGTCTACATTTTTTTTTTTTTTGGATCTGCTAGAAGAATATATATTGATAGAAATAAATTAATAGTGGAAGAATGTATACCATAAACAAAGATAAAAATATATTGTAAGTTATTTGGATGAAATATAAATTAATGGTAAAAATAAATACATTTTTAACCTATAATGATATAAAGTAGAAAATTCTTCTTACAGAACTCTTCAATTTTGACAGTAATAAAAATTGTCTCTCCTTCCAACCGTCCCTTCTCTCTCTCCACAGTGCTTCTCTCTTCCCAATCTCTCCCGTTTTCTGCAAACCCCATCTTAAAATTTCCAAGGTGGGAGAATGTGAAATCTGGCTTATATATGGAATTTGCCAATATTGTCGCATCTCCAATTCTTCTATTGCAAGAAATTAGGATTTGTTCTACAAGCTCGATGGAGAAATTTTAAGATGAAATCACATTCCTAAATAAAAGAGCAACAAGTATTGATGTAGACATTTATAATTTGTCTAAATGCCACGGAAACTCAGGTAGTAATAATTAAGATCTATGTAACTAGCAGCTGTTTGTTCTATGGAAAATGAAATATTTAGATTAAAAAAATTACATTCCATTTTTTTCCTAATAAAACATGTGTGTACGTTTGCGTGGCTGTGGTGTGGGAGAAGAGAGAATATCAAGTGTGTGCTATTATAATTCACAGCTTTCAAATCAGGGCTTTTACAGAAATGTTATATAACTTTCAATATCTGTTTTGGTGCCATTGTCAGTTTCTACTTATCTAGTACTGATTTGCATCATATGTTTCAGGGAAACACCTTTGGTGGCTCTTACCACTTCATCTGCTGCAAGGGTATGTATGAAAATGCAGAGGTTTCTGGTGAAGAAAAAGAAAGGAACGCAGAGGTTATAGAGAAACAAAACTGAGTACATAAGATTAGCGTGCCTCCAATTAAAATTTTCGGTGCTTCTGCTCTCTGGTGGATTAAATGTTTATACTTTACACTTTGCAAAACTTGACCATAATGCAAAATACTAAAATTAGTGAGGTTAAAAGCACGTGTTAGAAAAGTCTTTGCTAAAATTTCTGCAAAAGTTAGGTAAGATGCTCTTTTCTCTATTAAAACTTTCCAATATCTAAATGGCAGTCGCACCCGGCCCTTGAGGCCCACTGGCATCAGCCAGTCAGTGGTGCATTTCCCCCCCTCCCCCTGTTCGGTTTTGAACCGCCCCTTGCCAATATGTTCATAAAAACAAAAAAAATCTAAATGGCAGTCACTTGTTATTTATTTATTTTTTTCTCTCCACTGTTCTTCACTTTCCTTGCCGTCCTATCAAAGACACTCATTTCACACCCATAGTTTCACACCCATAGGAATATTGGATGATAGCAGAATTGTCCTTGTTTCGAAAAGCAAAAAGATATTAGTTTCTCTTATCTTCTTCTCTCCACTTTGTTCTCTCAACCCCCTTTTTTTTTTATGATCATTTTGTTCTCTAATCTAATCTAATCTAATCTGGCTAGCCCTATAATCAAAAGGTCATTGTTTATTTATTTTCTAATCTCAGCTTTTGGTTTGACACTTCACAAATCTTTTAGGTCCATCTCGAGAAGCTCTAAGAACACAAGGGGTAGAGATGAAGGAAACCATGAAGAAAAACGAACAGTGTTAATGAGAGTTGAGAGTTTAGTTAGAGAGTCAATTTTTTGAAAAAGATTTTTAATGATAAAGTGGTTTAAAAAGTACTTGTAAAATATGTTGA